TTTATTTCACTTTCCAAGGCAGGAGACGGCCAGGTATTGCTAGTCAATACAGGGCAGGGAACAAAGAGTGCCTTCTGCTTTCAAAGAGCAAGCAATTGCAGTTGCTAAGCAACAAGGAAGCGGGAGGTAGGTGGGAGATTGTGTTGAAGTTGAGCAGATACCAGGCGGGTGGTTTTAAAAAGTTAGTTTTTTTGCTTTCCAGGGGACAGTCCATCAGATGTCCCAAGGAGGTTACTTATCACGCTTAGAGCAAATGTTATAGAGTTCTACAGAGGCTTCTCTGAGAGGGGAGGAGGGTTGGGAGCTTTCTACTAACTAGAGCAGGTGTGGGCAAACTTTTTGACTCGAGGTCCCACAATGGGCTCTTAAACTGGACCGGAGGGCCGGAACAAAAGCATGGATGGAGTGTTTGTGTGAACTAATAAAAATTCAAAGTAAACTTCATTACATAAAAGGGTATGGTCTTTTTTTTTTTTAGTTTTATTCATTTCAAACGGGCCGGATCCAGCCAGCGGGCCGTGGTTTACCCAGGGCTGAACTAGAGACTCCTTGTTGTGAATTATCCCTGAATTATGGAAACAGCAGGTAGGAGGAGGATGCAAGAATGGAGCTTGAGAGTAGCTTATCTTGTCCCACAGGTTGAACAGAGGAGCCGACAATCTTGGGGTTTAATTACCAGGTGCTTCTCATAAATGTGGAAGGCCACAGCAAAGAAAAAGAGGCTTTTTTTCTGTCCTTACAGAAGTGTGCTGGAACTTGGTCTGGTTGGTGGTCAGGTTACAGAATTTATCAGGTGACCGAAAAGTACACAGGAGTATTTGGAGACATAGGAAAAAAAAACAACATTTATTTTCAGATGTTGTGCATGCACTAGTACAATGACTCAGGGGAGACTGTTTCTCTCCAAATCCTGAGCAAACCAATATGGAGGAAGATTTCCCTTTATACCCTTTTGGTTTCTTTGTCCCCCAGATATGGATTGCACTTCCAGACCTTTCATGGGCATTGCAAAAGGCCCCGTGTGTTGTGATGGGGGCCATGAGACCACACCTAAAGACCTGACCTGGCACCAGCACTGATAACACCCTCTGGGGGTTGTGTATTTGTTCATGGTTTGTGGCCTCTGTAAAATGGGAGTACTTAGGTAAACAGGTCTTGCAAGACCAGATAATGAAGGAAGGAGCAGCGACTAGACCAGTGGTTCTCAACCTTCCTAATGCCATGACCCTTTAATACAGTTCCTCATGTTGTGGTGACCCCCAAATTCATTGTTACAAATTGAACATAACTAAAGCATAGCGATTAATCACAAAAACAATATGTAATTATATATGTGTTTTCCAATGGTCTTAGGCGACCCCTGTGAAAGGGTCATTAGACCCCCAAATGGGTTCGCGACCCACAGGTTGAGAACCGCTGATCTAGAGCATTCACAGCCGCTGGCTCAGGCAAGAAGAGATCCGGGCGCAATGCGCACGTTCACAGTGGTTCCCAGGGCGGCAGAAAGCACTGATGTCCCGCCCTATGTGCTTAAGTGTCTGAGCAATGGCTTGTGTAGCAGGCTCCCTGCCAACTGTGTGGAGTGCAGGACGAACTTCTGTGTCTACGGGAAGCCTTGTCACCTTCGACTGCACAGTCAAACCTTCCGTTACCTGTGTTGGTCAGTAACTTACAGTTACTCATATTGTGGTGATCCCAATTCCACAAATTAAACATAATTAAAGCATAGTGATTAATCACAAAAACAATATGTACTTATATATGTGTTTTCCGATGGTCTTAGGCGACCCCTGTGAAAGGGTCGTTCGACCCCAAAAGCACTTCATCATCAACATGACTTGCCAATTTTGCTGGCAGCTCCCGGAAACTGACTACGAGTGCTCCAGCTCCACCAGCTGCATGACGGTGTCCTGTCCTCGGCAGCACTACACCGCCAACTGCAGGGTGCGGGACCATGTGCATGGCCTGGGTCACCGGACGTTTCCCAAGATGCTGTATTGCAACTGGACCGGTGGCTACAAGTGGTCCACGGCCCTGGCTATGAGCATCACCTTCGGTGGCTTTGGCGCGGACCGGTTCGACCTGGGCCAGTGGAGAGAAGGCCTTGGCAAGCTCTTCAGCTTTGGTGGCCTGGGGATATGGTCGCTGATCCACGTCCTGTTGATTGGAGTTGGCTACCTGGGGCCAGCAGATGGCTCTCTGTATGTTTATCGGAGATCTGTGCTTGGTGGGGAGCGGCACCTAGAAGAAGGCCTGGGCCCGGAGGAAGTGATGTCGCGAGTGACATATTTGTATGTTTTTAATGTACAGCATCTGTACGTGGCCTGCCTTGATGAAGGTAAAATTTAAAAAAAGAAAAAATACCGAACCATGCTTCTCTGGAATTCGGTTTCATTTGCCTGAAATGTATTTTTTCCTGTGAAAAAAACTGGGACTCAATTAAACTGGAGGAACAAACTCTGCAGTGATTGGAAATCGATTTTGTCACCGTGACTTCCGTTTTCTGTTGCTTAAGTCGAAGTGTATCGCTCAGATCTCAGCCTGGACGGGATCGGCCTGCAGGAGCCTTTCAGCTGTGACGCGGGAAGTGGGCCGGTTTATTCTTTAGCCCAATAAGGGACCACCCACACTTAGGGCTCTGTGAGATTTGCAATGTCCTGTGTATCTCTGGTCTTCATCTGTTTAACGTGAACTAGAGCTTTCATGTCTGGTGGCTGTGGTTTGAACTTGATTAGTAATGTAAAAGGTTGTGAGAGGACTGAAGAATTAATAAAGTTATAAGTGGCTTAAAAAAAAAAGGACCACATGCTAAGCAGAAGAGCTCAAGGAAGGCTGCATGGCAGCCTTGCAAACTCAGAGACCTGAAGTAGCCACAAAGAATGGTCTGAAATTAACATTTTTTAAGTTAAAAATCAGTTTATGGTGGGAAGTCTTGTCTTAGGCTGGCACCTCACCTGGGAAGATCAACAATATATTTGGACTCTAATGCCCCAGGGATATACAGAACGTCCCACCTATTATTCCCAGATATTAAAGCTGATTTAAATTTCCTAAGGTTTCCACTCTAATCCAGCATGTAGATGATTCATGTTCTAGGACATTACTAGACTCTCCAAAGGACACAACTTACCTACTGCAGCAGTTAGCTATAAAAGGACATAAGGTCTTGAAGGATAAGGTTCCATTTTGCTTACCTCAATAAATGCTTTGGCCATCTCATATCTAAAGATGGGCTACTGATTCACCCTGACAGACTTAGAGGAACCCTATCTTTCCCTCTTCCAAAACAAAAAAGCAGCTTAGAACATTCCTGGGATTGACTGAATATTGTAGAAATTGGGTTCCAAACTTTTTATTGATAGCCAGCCCAGTGGTTCTCAATCTTCCTAATGACGTGACCCTTTATTACAGTTACTAATGTTGTGGTGACCCCAATTTCATTGTTACAAATTAAACATAATTAAAGCATAATGATTAATCACAAAAACAATATGTAGT